GAGCGACACCCACTTGCCCACCTTTTTTTTTTTATTTTTTATTTTTTTTTGTGTCTGTCATCACGTTTTAGGACAGTAAAAGTGCTTGGATTTTCTTCATCAGTAGCTTTTCTGATAGGAAAGTGAATCTAGTTGGTACTTTGGGGGGTCAAAAGTATAAATTTCCCAGTAGTTTTCACAAGCGCCGGGAAAAACAACATAAAAATTAAGGAAAAACGGGAATTTTTACGCAAAATTGGTTTTCCAAAAAATCGATTTTGGTTTTTGGTGTAACTCTGAAACAAATGAACGTATATACATGAAATTTTCACTGGTTGTTTATATTTGCATTTTCTATACACGATAACATTTTCAAAATATTTTGATTTATTTTGAACTGTTTAGGGACATTTTCATTTTCCATTTTTTTTTAGTTTTTTTTCTAAAAATATCAATAAAATTTTATTTGTTGGTTGCGAAAGCTTGAAAATTTAATAGAAGGCTCCTAATATATTGCTTCAAAGGCAGATGAAAAATATTAAAAATCCTTAGTCACAATTTTTTTTATAAGCATTTAAAGTTCAAAAATTGACAAAATATGGGAAAATCACGAAAATTAGCAAATTATTTTGAGTTAAGAATTCGTAAAAATTTTTCTTTTTAAATCTAAGATTTGAAAATTAAACACAAGATTCCTTATAAGTTTGTCTACCTTTATCAAAAGAAAAATGTTTATAAGAAAGTCAAATTAAATTTTTATGATTGTTTGAAATTCAAATTTTTACAACATTGAATATTCACTCGATTTCCCATGTAGCGATTTCCTTATTTTGTTGTAATTCAAAAACAAATAACTGTAGATACATGAAAATTTCACTGAATGTTTAAATTAGCATTTTCTATACACCATACAATTTTGAAAATATTTTGACTCTTTTTGAGCTGTTTATGGACATTTACAGCTTTCAATTTTTTTTAGTTTTTTTTTCTATAAATATCAATAAAGTTTTATCTGTTGGGCCAAAAAGTGTAAAAATTTAATACAAGGCTCCTGATATATTGTTATAATATCAGTTGAAAAATATTAAAAATACATAGGCACGATTTTTTTTTATAAGCATTTAAAGTTGGAATTTTGACAAAATTTATCAAAATCTCGAAAATTATCAATCATTGTAATTAATAAATTATAAAATGTTCAGTTTTTATAGCTAAGGATTGCAAATTCAACACAAAGGTTCTCGTAAATAGTTCATACTGTAACCAAAAAATCTAAAAAATATATGAACACAGTTATTTTTTACAGACATTTTAAATTCAAATTTGGACGAAATTACATATTAAAAAACCTAGAATAACTATTTTAGTTATTTTGTTGTGATTGAATAATATTATTCGTGGGTACTTGAAACTTCTAAAGTGTACTATTATATATCTATGATAGTATCACGGTTTTTGTTGATGTATAACGCGTTATAAGTACCTAATGGATATTTTGATATGATTAATTTGGAATTTATTATAGGTACCCATTATAGGTCAATTTTTTGTTTAATACCATAGATATGTATATAATATGTCTTATACATAGACTGACATACCGTCTGCGCTCAGAATCGTTTTTCTTATACAATGATATTATATCGTTGAATTCAAATTTAATATCATCCATTATACAGTGACCCACTTGTAACCTACTGTACAGCAGAGCGACACCCACTTGCCCACCTTTTTTTTTAGTTAAGTATACCTATTGGCTATTATAAAGATTTTAAATTTCTTAATATTAAAAATTTAGTTTCGTTTAAATTTTTTTTAGAAGTTGAAGTTCAAAAAGTGAAATAGTCGTTTTCAAGTCAACTTAATATAACGAATTCGAATATGTTTTAGAAGTTATATCCAATTAATAGGATAGAACTGTTGACAGGATCAGCATAAGATAGGTACCTTTATTTTGGTAGAAGACTCTGCCAGCATAGCCCCATTCCAAAAAAGCATATTTTGTTTAGAAAAAAATGTATAATTCATATAAAATAAAATATAACCTACAAAATACCAGAAATTTTTCTAGAAATTTATTATATTTTAATATTTTATTTTTGAATACATGCAATCAGATATTTGTGCTAATTTTAAACCATCACGGTACTATATATCATTTAAAATATCTACTTTACTAGAAAAAGCTTGCGGTATACCGGTATAATAGACCTATGTAATATGTGCGATTTCAGACATTCATACTAAGTGTGTGGTTACTAGCAACAATCGAATTAATTGTACAAATTGAAGCCATCGGAGATTCACTTTTCTTTGAAGTGTTAGTAGTGGAATTTTGTTTAATGAAACAGTAGTTCATATAAAAAAAAAAATTATTTCTTAGTGATAACTTTACTGCAATAGTACAGATGGTATAACATTATATTTTTAAACCTTATAATTAGTCTAATGGTGATTTGTACTCGCGCCGTACAGTTTTGTTTTGTTTTGCTTCACTGAATCGCATATAATGAACGATTTGTTGTCGATGCCTGGGGTATAATTCTTACAAAAAGTAGTGCTATATACACAATCTGAAAAAACCAATTTGTTAAAAGCGTCATTTAAAATAATTTACTGCCGCAGTGCAGCTGTATACGTATACATATTAGTTCTATGCGCCGGACATAATATCCAATGACAATATGACAGTCGAATTCAACTTGTGAGCATATTATTTAACGTTCAAATATAATTTTTACTTTCGAAATCTCTAGGCAACGATTGTCAATTAAATAGTGGGAGAGGTGTTTGTATAATAACATCAAGGAACACTATATAATAGTATGTACACTGTACATTGTACAGTGTCGGAAAAAAGGATCAAGTTCTATATTTTTCTCCGTCTGTTGAAAGTGGCGGAAATCTCACGGTTTATTATTATATGACTATAGTATCGCAAGTTTAAAATCAAATGAGATAATAGCATTAAAGTTTTTTTTTCATTGATGTAATGTACGTAGAGCAAATTCGATGTGGATAGCGTTGAACAACATAAACGCTACCGTTGCCAACGCGTCACCATTTCCCGGAGCTTGCAATAAAGTGGTTATTAAAGTTTACTCCGCCTTATAGTAGATGGACGGACAGACAGAATTTCGTCGTTATCAAACGTTGCCAAAGTTTTTCATTATCGAATTTACTCATACAAAGGGTAGTCTCTCTTCAATTTACCTAATAACGACGTAGTCATAATAATGGCGCTGCATAACAAGCGGATAAATGGAAAATCCACCCTTGGAAATTTTTCATTCCACTTTGGAGTTTTTCGGTGGAATAAGACACTTTCCAGAAGTCTTTTTTTTATCATAATGTACAATAAAATAAAACGGAATACATGTCTTAATATTTTAATAATTAATATATAACTATTTATGAATATTTTAATGTTGTTTGATCATTGTTTTTTTGATATATAATGACGAAAACAAAAATTAATAAGTCAAGTTTAATATAAACTAAGTAAAAATATAATAACTAAAATATTTTGTAAATTAAATATTATAATGCTTAATACTAGTTGATAGTTAATAAAGATAATAGGCTAGATAAAAATACTACGTTTTGTAAATAGTCTTTGATTTGTGATTTTCTAAGATCTCTCTAAACAGTCTAAACACATATTTTTAAGTTATTACTTATTATACTTGTGGTAAACATTTAAAACATTACTTCTTATTTTAATCATTTAATTATGATAATATAATACTCTAGGGTAATTTATCTGGGGAAATTGTCCTACATTTAACCAGCATCAATAAGTCGGAAATAAGTTTGCAGAAATAATCTCGTGTATACGAAGAGCTAACGAATAGGCACGCATAGAGTTGAACTTTCATAATTTTTGGTAAATAATATAAACCAGTGGTTCTTAAACTTTGGTCCGCGACACTCCACGTCGTGATGGTCCGCGGCGCTATACGGTGAAGGTTCTGGTCATGTACACGTCATAATATTATACGTGTGAAATTATAGGATCCCTCCAAATTAAATATTTTGCATTTCCATCCCTCCACTTATGTTGAGCAACTTCGACCACTGTTTATATATACACTAATATTGTGAATGTACCATGTACGAGTTTGGGTATTAGGAGAATAAAAATATATATCAGGTTGACTACGACTCTAAACAGATGTAGAGCTCTGACTGTAATAAGTATAGAAGGAGAATTATCTAATAAGATTGTCAATAATGATATTAAATAAATATTTTCATCTAAATTATTTCAGGGTGGGGTGAAACGTTTAGTCAAAAATATGATAGCTAGATACTTAACATTTGCATGGTACCTTCGTTTCATAACGTAAGAGGGGTTATACTAATAAATGATTTTTTTAAAAATTCACATTTTTAAGATATAAGCTCACAGGGATTTTGTTTCAGTGAATGGAAATTGAATATTTTTTTGTGTATATTGGTATATAATTGCTATGGGTTACAGAAAATAAAAAAGTTATTATTATTGAACATGCGGGTAATTAATTAGTGATCTACCGGCAATTCAACAAGTTCATAATGTTAAAAAAAGATAAATATTTTATTTTTTATTTATTTTTATTTATAATATCATAGTATTATAATATACCTGGTATATATAGGTCGCCAAATACGATACCGCTTACATGAACGTAATGAGCCAGTTCCAGTAGACACTGAATATTTAATTAATGACAATAAAATAAAACAATTTTATTGCTATACTCTGTAGTTTTTTTCATCTTTGATTTTACAGGACTCCCTGCGACTACCTACAACTAAACTTTTGTGACATTAACTATTGGTAGTGTGCAGGGGGGCTTTGCCTCCCACGGCCACGGCTTAGTTTGAACTTTGGTATTCTAAGACTGTAGCCCCTGTCGCTATTAAATCTTAGATACGCCCATGCGGGGCCATATCCCTACGACACGCGTATAATACATACGGCCTATATTAGCGGCAGTCGGACCAGCAGGTGCGTATTGCACTCGCGGCGGGCGGCAATGTATACACACGCCGCGGTAGCCGCCGCCGTGAGACATCAACAAGTCGGGCGGCACAAGCGCGCACGCGGCGGTGAAAACGCGGGTCACCATGGTGACCGCGGTGGACGGGCGGACGGTGGAGGGCGGGCGACATCATTCGCGTACGGGCGGCACGTCGCGTCAGTCGTCGTGTACGTGTACGCGCGCGTGTTTGCCGCTCTACAAACTGCACCGGACCGGTGGTGCGCGCGTGTTGTTGTGTGCGCGTCAATCGTATACTGCATACACACACGCAGTATAATATACGTGTGTAGGTACACCGAACAACCGCCACCCCTATCACCAACACCACCCCAATCACCACTACCCTCTAATTCACTCCTCACACGCCGTCATCACCACCACCGCCACCGCCACCGACGCCGACTCTCTACCACTTCCCGCGACGACCGCGGTTTCCGCAACCGAATCGCCGCCGCACCACCTGATGGATCCGCGCCGGACCGTGTAACTGCCGTGGTGCGACACACGGCGACCGCGACGACACCGACACCGCGCCGCTCGCGCATCGCTTGTTTCGCCGACACGACCGGCACCTACGACATTATCGTCGCTGTCGCCGTCGTCGTTGTCGCCGTCGTCCTCGTCGTCATATACCGCGACGGGCGACGACCGCGGTCGCAGCGTCCCGTCCGAATATCTTCTTCTGGTTTGCGGTTGTCCCACTGCAGGGTGAGTGTTAAAATTGTTATAATATTACGTGTATCTTATATATTATACAATTTTTGGTTTCTGTGTTTTCGCGAGTACACGCAGCGCAGAGGAGAGAAACAAACGTTGTTCGCATCGAATCGAACCCGCGCGCGGTACGGCAGCGAATAAGAAACGATAAAACCGCAGCGTAGCGTTTGTAGATTGATCGGATATCTTCCTGTACGCGGCCGCAGCAGAAGCTATATAGCGGTGGCGGCGGCGGAACGTGATGCGATGTATAGTGCGACGCGGACGTCGCGTTCGGATGTCGGCGGCGAACTTTAGGCCGGGCCGGAAATTACGTCGTCGTGCGGTTGATAATCGTTATTACACGGGCTTTATTCGCATTAATAATAATAATAATAATAATGTTTTGCGGGTGGATTTGCTATACGTAGCCGGTAATTTTTTATGTTTTTTTTCCAGACATCACTTCGTCCAAAAATTGTGCGAGCGCATTTGTGTGTGTGTGTGTGTGTGTGTGTGTTTGGCCGCTATTTTCACCGCTACACGCGACGTCGCCGGGCAGCTGGGCCAACACGCATCATGCCGTGGCATAATATTATAAAAATAAAATCGCGGGACGTCACGCGCGTCAACACCGCCAAAACTCCGTCGTGACAGACGACGAGGCGGATGCTGGGTACACACACACACACACACATGATATTATATAGGTAGTGGTCGTCGTCGGCGAGACTGTCCAAGTCCGCTCTGAACGGTCTACAGAGCGATTCACCGAGCATGCATTACGCAGTATTCAAATATATCTTAGTCAAGGACCATGATATATTTTCAAATAATTAGATTTTTTGTTGCATTTAACTGTTCAAGGAGTGTCCTGTGGCGATATACATAATGTATAGGTACCAACTTCTTTCTTCCTAACGAGAATCATCTTTCTTTTTTTTCCAGAAATTGTTAAGTTGATTATTTTTTTGATAATTTTGACCTGTTGAAGATATGGGCCATAATGATTCGATCAGATTTTTGTAACCAATAGGTATTAATTATTAATTTATCAACATCTCATAATTTCTAAAAATTATTTAGGTATAATAAATAGTAAATACAATACACAAAACCTTTTTTTAGCACTATTGTTCTTAGTTTCTACACTTTAATAAATAATAATATCTTCTTCAACATTTTCAAAAGTCATCTGGCTTACAATTTACTGAGAAAAAGGTTGATTCTTGATTGAAAAAACAATTTCGTATCGCCACAGGAAACTTCTTAAATGGCACAACAATTCTAAGTATTTTAAAATATGGTCTTCACCAACACATGTGGGTGGGCGTGCTCGGCGATTCAGCCTGTATACGAGTTTACTGAATATTAAATTATCATCGTCATTAATATTTTCAAACGTCTTAATCCCGATCTTTGGATAACTTAGAACTGTACAATTTCAAATTTAAATGTTAAATAACTCGTGCTTAATTATGGACGAGTATCGCAGCGCTTCGTGATTCCAATGAGACTCGTTATCTTTTATAACTAAATTTTAACGAGATGCGTAATATTTGAATCGTATATTGAAAATTCTATCCATAGTTTTAAATGTACTATTACACTGTCTCCGTACTCCGCGTAATCCACGTGGTTAACCCTTTATCATAGTGTTTACAAAATATGTTCAACTACTTTACCGTGCGGTTAGGTGGTTATAAATGACTATGGGGAAATCAGTACTATTGGTGTCAATAACAATAGAAAATTCTGTTCACTGACCACATGGTTAACACGGAATACGATTATCTAATATAGTACCCACTGTGTGTAGTATTTACTCGTATAATAGTAAATAGGCAGTGACAAATTATTCAGATAAATACCCCACTATATCCGTACTCGGTATAACTGAACGTTATACCTCGCTTTCATCGGTGAGGCTTGGTGTACCTTGACAATATTGTGAAAGATAGAATGTGCCATCTTTTCAGAAAGGTTGAAAACCCACGAAGACTGGTTTAACTCCACATTTTTATATTTCCACTTGGACGGAAAACACCGAACCCATCACAATACACAATACATAGCGTATCATTATTATATATTTTAGTCCAAGAGCTACTGACAGTTTGACTTTACCCATTTTAGCTCACTTGATTTTTTATAGTTTATGGTATAGACTGGTTTTATAAACTTTAAACTTTAAACATATTTTTTAAATATATATGAGTCCGAATTTTTGGCCGCCGATGTTTTTTTAACATCTTTAAGTAATCCAGAATCATTTGATGTTGGTGACAGACGTTTGTCCAATCGGTCTATACTTCTGCTGATTTATTTTTTTTTATTCAGGAGGCCCTATACTACAGACTATAAAAAAAATCAAGTAAGCTAAGATGGTTAAGGTCAAACCGTCAATTGGTAGGTCCTGGACTATATTTCACTCGGCGGACACTGGGATTTTAGGTCTCTAGCCAGTGGCGGCGCGAAATCGTGGAGGCTTTGAAGCATATTGTATATTTTAAAAATGTTTACTACCGCACCTTTCATTGAACCAAATTAGCAGTAGGGGCCATTAATAATTATTAATTATAATATTGGCGATGATATTTGTGTTGAGGTCTTACGATATATTTATACACCCACCCACAGATTTCAGACATGAAGCGATTGCTTCAAATAATCCTATACCCCGCCGCCACTGTCTCTAGCCGATAGGATTTTGACCTGTAGTAACGTTCTAGGCTCGACGGAAAAACAAAAAAATTACACACGGAACCCGTATAGATAATAAACTCTCACCGTACGAACTAATAATACAACAGCTTTCGACACACCGACAATATTAAACGAATCGTACGTATTAGGTCGATCACTATACATTAATAAGCTATAGTCATGTTTAAAATATTGTGTAACCCGAATTTTTGAGTGAATAAATCGTTAAAAACAGAATTAAGTATGACAATTATGAAGTATTCTACATTTCACTAAACTGTAAAATGCATATTCGTTGTCTGACCTGCGTAGACGACGACGTATTTATGAATTTTAGATATCAATTTGTTCAGTTCTCGTAGTTCCTTACAAATCATTAATCTCTATACTCATAAACTCTATACAAATTATAAAAATGGAACACCAATTAAAAGCAACGACAAAAATGTATTTACTACAATATCTTATAGCTCAATATAATATAATATAATATACCTTGATAAATAATACATAATAAATAATACTCATGACTTAAAACCGTTGCTAATAAGTATAATAATATTATTATGCACATAATGTAATTATTGTTTTTATTTGTTCAATTTTTTTTGTTTTGTTTTTTTTTTTTTTTTGACTTAGTTCTCAAATGGGTTTCCTGTTTAAACATGTTTTCATCGTACCACTGGACTTCAAAGTTTCAGCATTTATTTAAGATAGCAAATTGGATCAAAAGCTTTAACTCCACAATTTCTCTTTAGTAAATAACAGAAAATATAATAGAGTTAACGAGTTCCTTTTATAATAATGTTTAATACAATTACTTGAATTGTTGATTAATCAAATTAATACTCAAAAGCCTTAGAAACAAATTAATTTAAAGAACCGTTTGTCAAAAAAAAAAAGAGATAACATCATGTATTTTTGTAATCTATTATAATTTATTATATATACCTATATAAGGATTTGTGTGTAATGTAAATAATATTGTATAATTTTATAATACGTCCTATACAATTTAATACGATTTCGTAATTTTAAATTTAATAGAAGTATAAAAAGTTGGAATTTGTAAATAAAGAGAAATGGGTGTCACATTTTTCAGCAAAAAGGAAATATTTCTAAATATTTTTATGCTGCACCCTAAATTTTCATTTTTGTGTAAAAATAAACGAAAATAAATCAGTTTTGCTGTAAGATTACTTATTTAGTTGATTAGTTTAATTTGGTTTTTTTTTATATTAGTCGTTATATGAGTCATTATTGCAATGATACAATAAACATACAAAATGTTTTTGAACTAAAGTATTGATAATATCAAGATCATCTTTGCTCAGTCAATTGATAGTCAATAATCATTAGGCATTAAGAAATCAACAGAAAAAACAAAAATAATAAGTAATATACCATTTACCTGGGCGATTAACCTAATCGTATTGAACAACAGCTACCATCTCAAACCCGATCTAATGAACCACAACCGCTAGTTTTTTTTTATTATTATTATTTTCGTGACATATACTCTCTTAAAATATATGCATAAATGCTTTCAAATCTCAAACGCTGATGTATCATTTAAACCGGTGTGACCTGCCAACGTTTTATACCGACGATGATTATTTTCAATTTTACGGTTATTAATACGTTTGATGTATTTAATTACTTAAATACGGATATTGTAATATTATCGTGCAGGTTTTCGGCGACGAGTGGTACCTATACACGTCGCTAATTCGACGCTGGGTAAATATTTCAGTAAAAATAGTCTACTGAGCTTGTTTAGTTTAATTGGAGGGGTTAAGGTTAGTAGGAGGGTGCCAATGCGGAAATGTCTCTTTGACCGATTTTGTGGACATAAATATATAATATATTATATATATTTCACTATAAAAATTTGTAATCGATAGTAATGATATCGTAGTGATAAGAATTTACTGCAAACATATAGCTTATTTGATTTTTATTCGGCCCTGTGGTAGGGCTTGGAAGGCGTTTAGCTTTAGTCAGTCCATAGTTTTCTCGTCAGCGATGTAATTAGGATATTATAATGCTCTAAAAAAGGATTTATTTTGAATTTTTCTTGTTTTAATTTTAACCTCTGAAATCCAGACCCGGATTACATAATTACAGTATAATATCATTGCTCATTTTATTATTGAGAACATAATATATTAGGTATATAATATATTTTTAATTATAATCAAAAAGTTGTTATTTTTTATTGCTCATCACTTAAAAATATTACAATATTACTATCTATCTAATTTCATAGAACTATTAAAATTTTAAATGTCACATTTAAACGTATC